TATAGTGCCCCGCCCCTATATTTTCGAAGATGGACGCCCTTGTAGGTGGCCCATGATCTGAGGGTGGTAAATTTCATTATCATCGATCATCGATTATTTTCTACATATAATATATATAGGTTAAGTACCTACACTTGATTTCCAAGGACGGTCTTAAAAAAATACATGGTGTGGTGGAGGGGTATGTAGATTTAGAAATGCCACATTTTTAATGTCGAACATATTCACCGAGTGCCAACTGACAACTGATGGTCTAAAATTGTTGCAGAATGGAGGGGTGTCACACCCCCACGATACCCCATTGATCCGTCATTGTTGATTTCTAGTTTTACTCAGTCATTAATAATTAATCTAGAAGTTAAAACTAATTAATTTTCATCGTGGTTACTTTTATTTTTTTTGGGTTTCGTTTACTTTTTTTATAACACAATAATCAATAATCCACAACACTTTACTTTCACATTCTAAAGAAAAATATTTTTTTAACATTTTGGCTTCTTTTATATGGTATAATAACATATTGAATATTGAACCAGAGGCGTCAGTAGCTTATAAGCATATTATACAGTTTAAAAGAGTTGAGTAGGTACATAGTTCTTCAAAAATTCACGTTAATCCACTGCCACTTCACTACACCTATCTTAACTTTAAATGCTTATAACTTATAAATAATAGATTATTGGTTCAATATTCAGATTGACTTGCAGGGTTCTATTTCTATATTCGTGTAGAAAAGTATTCGAAAAAAAATATGCTGTTAAAGATGAAAAAATAATAGTAAACAAATTTTTTTTTTCCATAACTTTAGTATATATTATAACTTATAACTTATATATAAGACATAAGTACTTTACTACTTAAGTATACTTTGAGTTCTACAACAAAGATTTCTTTCTCAAAAACTCAAGAATTTAGTGTCCTTTGCATTTTCTTTTATACTACATACTTTATTATAATAATATACAATAATATTATATACAGACATACAGTTAAATAACTAAATATAATATTATGTACTAGGTCAGCGGCTCTCAAAATGTGGATTGGCCCACTTTTACCAATGATTAAATTAGTGGTTGGTGGTTCCCAATCGGGGGAATTTAGAAAGTTTGGGGGAATATAGTGATGATTAAATAACTAGAATTTTATTGTTAAAATAATTATGCCATTTTACAATCAGTAAAATTGAAAACAATAAATTAATTTTATTTATAATATTTACTATTTAATATAAAAATAAAATTATTAATTATTAAGTTAGTTTATATTTTATTTTTAAAATTATGAAAAAAAATATAAATGTCATTAGTTTTATAATATATATAGTTAAATTATATGTTTATTGTAAATTAAGAAGCGTCGGTAAACCAAAAACTTGGTCTACACCAAGTTTTCATATTTTATTGTACACCGGTCACCGACACACATAGTTACATGGTACAAGTTTGTAGCATAATAATATATATTATACACAATATGAACGTAAAAAATATATAGGCATAAACCATGGATATATTGTAAGTACCTACTGTGTACGACGTGTTCGAGCACAAGTGCGCAACTAATAATACGCTAACGAATCGAATTTTCTACGGAACTCTGCAGAGTTCACGTCATGACGATTTACAAATTCACCGTACCATATTTTAAATTATTTGATACATGTTTTTAGCAGTAAATGTACCTATATCGATAGAAAGCTTTTATTGTACTCATAAAACAGCTACATGATTATTACCTATATTACATTTACAAGTTCTTTTTAAATTGAAGGTATAGTTATAGTGCGGCGACTTGTGCAAAATAAATAAATATGTTTCGTATGCAAACAATTTTATTTTTCATTTCTGCATCACTCGATATAATATATTCGAAAATAATATTATCATCATTGCATACCTACCAGCTACCCTATACAGTGTGATTATTTTAACAGTAGAAACTCAGTTTCTCAAATAGTAGGTAAGTATTAATATTTTTAGAAGTTTTTTTTTACCTAAATTTAAATCGTTGTGAAACAATTTAAAAATAAAAATAAATATATACACATAATATTAGAAGTATTATATTATTTTTAAGTTTTTATATTTTTTAACGATATAGCTTACCTAGTGGCATAAATGTACCCCGCAAAACGTTGGTCCACTCATCAAAACGTTACCAGAAAAAATCTTAAAAGTAGTAAAAATATCATCTTTTATCAAAAATGTTAACTTACTGTAGGTTATGATTTCAAATTGTATAACATTTTTTTCTAAAAACATTAAGTAATTGGTATTTTTCGATATGATCAATTTTTACGTTGAAAGAATCACTCTGTATAGAATATCAGTTATGTTGCTCCGAAACACAACAGCTGAATCGCGAACTCACAGTGTACAATAATTAATAATAATTCACAGAATTAATTCATAATTCGTTAGAGTGTTTATAAATTATATTATATTTAAGTACCACCACGAAGTGTGAGTGCCGAGTGGTGTGACGAATTTCTAGACCAGACCAATGTTTTACTGTATATATAATATATATAAACATGCAATGATGGGACTATCGTCACTGCTGAGTGAGAAAAAAAAACAACAAAACAGACAATTGTATATTCGATTACCTTTGAGTGCAAGGTAATATTACTGCAAGGACCTGCGGGCCTTTGAAAATTCAAATCGCAACATTAAAATTCAAGTCGAATTCGTAATCTAAATAACTACGCAACGCTGTATATATTATAATAAATTATTAGGTGCAATTTATATATATATATATATACAGAGAGAGAGAGAGAGAGAGAGTGAGAGAGAGATCTCGCAGAGACATAACTAAAAACGTGTACCTAAATATATATTATTATAATATATACGCGAGATTACATCGCTTCATTAGGATAATATCGTGGGTATATTCTATAGTCTATATAATATATATTAACGGGACTTAATGAGTGACTTTTTCGACATGTTGCAGGCGACCGAAAGCAAAATTACATTTTTTGTTCACAATATAGGCATAATACTTTTAAATGTAATTATAAAATGTATTATTTGATAATTAATATATTATATAACATGCATAACGTATCGAAACACCTAATACATATTATTTTAAAACCATGGTACCAAGCCATATCAGGGGCGTCATTTGGGGGGTGCAGGGTGTACATTTGCACCAACTTTTTTTTAAAACGCCTTCTTTGGCCTGCCAACAATAAATATAATTAATAAGACTCAATACATATAATTATAAAACTAGTTTTTAAAGCCCGTTTTAATTTTAATTTTTCATAAATTCGAAAAAATCAGAAAATCCGTTACTTTATAACATTCAATTTAAGTATGTAATCAGCTGCAGGTAGACGAAGGTAAACATGGAAATTTCGGTATACGTTTAAAAATTATAAATAAGAAAATATAATATTATAAAAATCACAAAACCTATCTCGGGATCCTCTATGTTGCATTTGCATTCTGGATGTTTTGGCAGTGTTTAGGACGGTACTCAACTTCTGTTTTTTTGTAGACACTACAGTCTACAAATATACCTACTTCCAACAAAAAATCAGGTCACTATCGCCACTGTTAGTTGGCCTTTGCTACATTTTTTTAATTATCGCACTCTTAGAACTGTCAAGTTCGAACGTTATTATTTAAAATTTAAACGTAGCGTGGTACATTTTCAATTCATTATTTTAGATTCTGAGCGGAGCGATGTATGTATTGATTTTATAAAGATGTGTGTATTTTTTATTTTTTTTATTATTTTTATTATTATTTATTTTTTTTGTGTAAGTGAACACGATAAGTATTTGAATTAATACATCGATTTTCAATTTCAGTATCTTGTTTGATGGGAAAGTAAATCTAGTTGGTGCATTTTGGAGGTCAAAATTCTATATTCCCATTAGTGTTCAAAAGCGCCGAGATTAAGGAAAACAGTATTGTCCAATATATGAAAAATATATTAACATTACAATTTGAAATTATTTGTATAAAATATAAACCTACAACACTTTTGAAAGTGATTATAAAATTACAAAAATCTTAATACCTAATAGTTAATTATTTTGTTTGTATTTGTTAAAAAAAATCGTTTGATTGATGTGAATATAATATTTTGTATCACATGAGTACATGACACAAACACACACTACACTGCTAAGAACATTTTAATCCAAGAACTGTTCCATTATTACTAAATCTCGGTAATATAATATAGTTGATATAATAAATAATTCATAAAAAATTAAACTGGTTCAAGTCACACCCAAGTTTGAAGTCACTGCAGATTGACGGTACATTATTTCAATGGACTCTCGACAGGGCAGAGGGCGCTGGCTCCGCTGCGTATAATCATGTATATCAACCTTGATGTTTAAACATTTTAAACTTAAATTACAACATTAAAGCAATATTAATAATAATGACAAAAACAACAACAACAACAACAACAAAATAATGGGCGTTTTTTAATGCAATAATAACCACTCAATTATCATGTCCCACGCGAGCCCCTGACGCGCAGTAGCGTGCGAACATCCGGCCGGATGATAACGACCTTGACGATCCGTCCTTTGAACCATGAACTACTACACAGGACTGGACACTACAGAGAAAATCACGGACACAAAGTTGTACAGGGTTCGTACACATGCGATGTAACTGCACTCTGCCTGTTAGTAGTACGAACTACGTTTTTTATAGGATAACACCATGGCTTAAGATAAACAGGTTACGAAACGCAGCTGTGATTATTGAGGCTCTAGTCTGTCAATCTTCGGATACTAGCGAGAATGATACCTAGCGCTCCATGCGGTACTATTTAGCTTTATTTATATTTTTCCACGATACTTTTTGAATTTTGTCATGTATTTTAGTTTTAACTTACACGGTAAACAACACAATATTTTAAGATTTTTATGAGATTTTTTTGATTTTTTACATAAATAAACAATTATAATACATAAATATAACACGGATAAATGATAATATAAAACATTTAATAACCTAACTGGATACAAGTTTTGAAAGTTTCTTTTTGGCTCTATTAATTTTATTTAATTTTTGATTTTCAATGTATGTAAATTGCCTCATACGCATTGTTATATATATGGTGAAGATATCTGTAATCATTTCATATTTATGAATAGAACATGAAAATGTCAAGCTTGTCACATGAAGAAAAAATTCATTATAAGTATTTTCAAAGACATCACCAGCACTTGCATGTTTACAAAAGCAAGTTTCCAATACTTTTAATATTTTATATAAGTTACCACTAGGATGAGTTAAAAATCCTTTACTTTTTAAATTTACCAACTCTGATTCCATACCTAAGTTACCATCATTCTTTAAATTTTTTATACATACTTCACACTTGGACTTTTTGCACAGTCGTCTAGCTAAATACCTGCAGATTTGATTAAAAACTTATTAGACATTTATGTAAGAAATAATATTGATTTATCATCTTTACCCTCCTAAATAGTAAACCACGCATTCAAAAACTGAACTTTTTGTATAATCGTGCTCTAAAAATATGTCTTCACAGTCCCAGTTCTTATCTTCAATTATCAAGTCTAATTTACTCTTCATGTTTTTAATTTTTTCTTCACGCAATGATTCATTTGAAATAAGATTTTTAAAGTCGCAAATATCAAGTACCGGTTTTTGGACTGAAAGTATGTAAGTAAATATATAAAGTACTTATTATAGATCATATATACCCATTTAAATTATTTACCTTCATCAACTGTACAGTTACCACTTTTAGGTGGTTTTATTAGAGAAGATACAGTCAACATTCTGTATAATTGTAAGAATGTTGGTGTAGACGGGTGGTCGTTAGGACCAGAAACTTGACGTATTATACCAAAAAATTTCTTTAAATAATATATGTTAGTAAGTGTAAGATGGTCAATCTTTAAAATTAAATATTTCATACTTCTAGTTTATCCTGATTCATTTTAGCAGTTAATACAAATGAAAAATTACAACTGTCCAACAGATATTTTGAAAGTTCAATGCTAGATTTAATTGTTACTCTCAATCCATCAGCTGTTTGCTGAGTTAAAAATTCATTTGAAGATATGAGTCCATCTATAACTTTTGACTCCCAAGAATCTAACCATTTCATTGCATTTTCAAGAATCTAAGTACATTATTTGAAAAATGGGCATGAATTAATTAATAAAATATTAAGTAAAAATATTCCCACAAAGTTTTTCTAATAGTACACAGTATATAAAAATGTTACTTTAACATTACTCTATTTTTATATTATTATAGTTTTGAACGATAAACCACAAAAGCATCATGCAACATAAAGATTTGAACATAGAACACAATACAGCTATACCTAATGTCAAGTGCCAACAAACATAAATATTTGTTAAACATAAAGAAAAACCTCAAAATCATAAGAATTTTTTCTGATTCCTTCTGCAGGAAATTTACGATTGAACGCATCAAATAAATTATTTATAAACAAGGTAAATTGTTCTGTTTCTTCAGAATGTATAAGATTTTTTTCATTTCTATTTCTATAAAATTGTATACCTACAGCCATTGAGTTACTGAAAAGCTAACATAAGTATTAAAATTAGTTGATAATTTTTAATAGCATTATTATTTAAAACATTTTTAAATTAGATATCATATTTACCTGAGTTGCAAACTTAACTTTCATTTTTGACAAATTAGTTAAATATATGTGATTCCTAGTAATTTTTGGACATACTTTCCCTAGTTTATTCTCATCAAGCCTGTACACTTCAGAAAAATGTTCCCATTTTACTAATGGTTTGGAAGGATCCAACTAAATTTATAACACATAATGTAAGTATATAAAAAACCTTTTTATGTATTTATATTACCTTTAAACATTTTTTTTCGTATAAGCGATTACGTATCGTCTTAATGAGATGAGGTGCGTCACTAAAAACAAAAACTTTTCTAGTTTCATCAAATGGATTACAAAAACTATTATTTGTATTCCCTATCTTTCCTGAAATGCCTAAGTTATTCCACATGGTCCTATTTGTACTGGCCCCATCAGTAGTTAGTCCCAAAACCTGTGCTCCTGCGTTCTCTAATAACATTATTGCTTTCACTACTAATTTGGTCAAATCCATTCCTTAAAATTGTTTAAATATTAGTATATTAAAATTGAATTTTTCTTATCAATTATAATTTATATACCTTTTACAGGACCTTTGGAGGCAAAAACTGCAATAGGTTGTGTAAAACTATCTGCAAGACTAGACCACATAAATACCAAACCATGATCTGCTTTTTCAGTGTCTCTACTTGGAAGTTCTCCTCCAAAATCTTCCAATCCTGAATAACTTAAAGTACGGCTGTTTACTGATATACTTGATCTCAAATATACCTCATCTAATAGTAAAATGCCTTTTTTTTGATAGTCACTTTTACTCAACATTTTTTTTTTCAGAAGTTTAAAGAAATTAAGGTCAAATCCACATTCATTATTAATTGCCAAAAGATACTTTCTAACAGTTTTTACACAGGGAAGTGGAAGTATGTTTTGGTTTCTCAGAAATCTATATCCACTTGGGCTTCTGAAAATTATTAATTTGTATGATTCATATTTATTCATATTATTATATTTTGTAATAACTTACCTAATCTGTAAAATTAAGCATAATAGAATCCAGTTATCGCTATACCTTCTCTGATTCTTACATTTAACTTTAGCAGCATTAAAAATTTCATTGACTAAATTAGATTGACAGTCAGATAAATTAGATTTCTGAATTATTTCATTTAATGTGGTTGATGAGACTTGGGATATTTTAGTTTTGATATTATTCAACTGCAATTTCAAATTTTTAATTGTTTTATGCGCTCTCGAAAACTTTTGGCTTGCAATTTTTTTGGATTTAAGAATTTTTTTGAATTTGCTTTTTTTGCTCGGTGTTAAAGGTACTCTTAAAGACTTTCCAGCTGACAATATTTTGAATTTTTTATTTATGGTGTATTTTAATCTATTACACCATACACATAATTGACTATTCAAAACAGAATGAAATTAGAAATGTTATTATTTCAAAATTAATTTATTAAGGAAAATTTAAAATATTTCAGAATTTAATACCTGGCTCCATCTTCTATAATATTTAAACAATTCGCATGTTTCCAGTGACCATTAAATTCTATAAATTGAGAACCAAAAGAAGTTTTTACATTTTTGTCAGTTTTTACACCTCGACAAACATTAACTTTTACAAGTATATTTAGCATGTATTCAATATTCAATGTTTCATCATAATTATTTATTCCAACCTGTGATAACTTAATTTGTTTCTCATTAATGTAAAATGTTGGCTCAGAATCTATAAATATATTTTTATGGTAAAGTTAAGTTAGTATTCGAAGTACACATATTTTTTTTTTAACTGATAAATTATTATCCACGATACTAGTCATTATGACAAACATTTAGATGTAGATGTAACTATTGTTTACTTATTTTAATACCTTTTAATATAACTAATCGTTTTTCCACAACTCTTTTATTGTATATTTGAAATGGACTGAGAATAAAATAAGTTTTTGCTATAACAGATCCATTATTAGTAGTAACATCACAAAACCAATTCATGGGTAGTGAAATTGAACTTTCATCATTTATCAATATATTATCTTGAATTACTACCTCAGATATTGATTCAATTACACTGTCAGATAACTGGGCATTTAAAATAAATTTATTTTTAATTTACTTTTGTCAATGTTATTAAAATTATAATTTATTCAAACCTCAATACATGCTCGTTTGGCAAGTGGTGGTTCAAACTCATCATTTAGATTAACTTTAGAATAATTATGTTCGTTAAGCATTGTCATTGTTTCATTCACCTAATAATATTTTTAAATTAGTAAAAATAAAATATTTGAACTATTAATATATTTATATATCTATACTATTTCCTAAACTAACCTGGTTTATGTCATTTACTTCATCACTTAAATTATTAATTGGTATAACTCCAGATTTTAACCGTGGCTTTCTTAAACAAATCTAAAAAAATTTACCTATTATCTATTCATTTTTACTTATATGTATAATGTATATATTTCAATAGAACATACCGAGATTTGGCTACTACCATTACCAGACTCCCATGTTGATGTAATATCACTAGGTTTAAAATGGTTTGCACAAACTCTTGAATTCCTGTTTAAAGGACACCCAATAATATTTTCCCAGACATTCATCATATTTTTAGGAACACCAAATTTAGATGCAGCATTTTTACTACACCCAGGAACACAACACTTGTTGGAAACCATATTGGAATAAAGGAAAATATAGTACAAAATAAACTACTAAAAAGGCAAAAAGTAAAACGATGAAAAATGGAAATTGGTGCAATATTACAAAAGAAAACTATTGAGGATTGTATTGTATTGTAATCTTTATTCCAAATCCCAAATATGACATATAATATATATAATATGTCATGCCAAATATCCATCAATAAAAATTCGCGGGTAAATGTTTAAAGATAACATTGATAATAAATAAAATTGTTTTTGGCCGCAAGAACGCTAGCTACTATTCTCACACAAACCATCAGCTGTTTATATTCGAGAATCTTTGAGCATCATTTCTGTTGTATAGTTTTAATAGGTGGTTTCGTAACCTGTTTATCTTAAGCCATGGATAACACTAAAGAATAGTGATATTAGTGATAATAACTGATAATAAATTTACTTTTTAATTTTTGAAAAACAATTATTAATAACACAGTTCAAGATAATAATGATACTATTTATAGAATATTATCAGAAAATAATTACTGCTTAAAGAGTGAACAGTTTAAGCATGAACTACTAAGGCGGTATTTTATATAACAAAATATTTCTTATCTCACAGATGGCGCTGTGTCGCATGTGTACCGAATATGTACAACTTTGTGGACGACCCCCTACTCTCCTCCTGCCAATAGTGTCCAGTCCTGTGTAGTAGTTCATGCTTTGAACAATCGTGGAGATTATTATTATCATTTATCATTTATATTTTATCATCACCGCGGCTGTTGTTATTACGTTATCTAAACCGGTGCGAGTCCGCGATACCCACACCACCAAACCAATCTACGACGACTCTCCCTCTCATAGATAAGTATAATATCTCTCCCTCTTCTCGGTCCTCAGTTGCACAGTACCAATAATAATAATATTATATTGTTATTTGTTATACGTTCGCCCACAGTCCACACTTGTCACTTGTACACACTCAGTCACTCTAGCCGGACAATCTTCTCTTAGTTCTTACATCCTATTGATATCGTAATTTCTTTTCAACTCAGCCATGCGTTTGGGTACAGTCGTTCCGGACTTCTCTGCCGTCACTACCAAAGGTCCGATAAACTTCTACGAATGGGTCGGTGAATCGTGAGTACCAATACCTAATTGTTTATTTATTTACATTTATTTTAGTTATCGTCACAATAATGACACTACAATAATAAATTATAGAGTTCACTTCATATTATTATTATAAAATAATATATAATATTATTATTATCATTAATTGATACATTCACTGTTTTGTATTGGAACTTGTTTTAATATCTGTATTTCAATTTTTAATTTAGTTGGTGCGTTTTGTTTTCTCATCCCTCTGATTTCACACCAGTATGCACCACCGAGTTAGGCAAAATGGCCGTGCTGGTCGACGAATTCACAAAGCGCAGTGTCAAAGTCTTGGGTCTGTCATGTGATAAATTGGAAAGCCACGTAGATTGGATAAATGTAATGACTTCAATTTTAACTGTGTTTCTATAATACGTGTGAGGATCCTAAATTAATGACAATTTATCATTTTCAGGACATCAAATCATATTGTCTAGACATTAAGGGAGAATTCCCATATCCCATTATTAGTGACAGCACTCGAGACTTGGCTGTAAAACTAGATATGATCTCCGAGGAAGACAAGGACAATGTTGAGTTGGCATTGACCATTCGATCTCTTTACATCATTGGACCCGACAAGAAGGTTAAACTCATGATGGTTTACCCGACTAGCACTGGTCGTAATATTCAGTAAGCCATGTTTGCATTCAAGAATTCAAATTTTTTTGTTAAATAGATAATGTCAATCATAATGTTTAAACATTACCTAGTTTCTTATTATTTTAACTGCTAAATATTATAAATTATTTTCAACAATAAATTGTTTTAAAATATCTACCTAAACTTATAAACGTAACATTATCATACACACCTAATGTGTAATTCATTAAGGCTCATATCCTTATCTATTAAAAAAAAAAAAAAAAAAAAAAAAAGTATATTGTTATTATTTGTAAACAAAACAGAAAATAAGAATTAAAGAATTAAGAATCAATATCATAGAGCAACTTACTAAAATATTTTAAATATTAATTTTCATATTTTATGCTCTAACCCCTTACAGAAACTTTGAATTTGTCTAAGTGGATTCAACTCATAAAATTAAATTATTTTCAATTTTTAACACCAATATAAACTTAATAATTATGTACCTATAAACCTAAAGTTCAAACACATTTTTACTTTTATAGAGAAATTTTACGTTGCATTGATTCACTTCAGTTGTGTGATAGAAAAAATACCATTGCTACACCTGCAAATTGGGTGGTAAGTAAATAATTTGACATTTTTTTTTTTAAATGAAATTTGTGACTTCCAATCTAAAATAAACTTTTGTTCATATTAGCCCGGCGAAAAAGTTATGATCCTGCCAACAGTAAAAGATGAAGACCTCGATACACTCTTTCCAAATGGTTATGAAAAACGCTCAATGCCTTCTTCAGTTGATTACTTGAGAACAACTACCGATTATTAAAATACATCATTGTTTGAGTCTGTTATTCACATTTATTTAAAAGAGATTTATTTTTTTAAATACATTATGATTTGTTAAAACTAAAGTTTATAATATTAATTGATATAATTAACATTGTACATAATATAATCAATACTTTTTACAAACATTTTTATTTATTTTTGGATATTGTGGATATCTTATTATATTATATTATCGTTAAGACTAAATTCAAAAGCCAATATTAGACCAATATCACAAACTGTATTACCTCTACTACTTTTTATATTCTTCTTACTACTTAAACTAAAACTTACATTACTATAACAAACACAATAATTTATAATAGTAATAAAAAAGTAAACTATAATGAATCACTATCTATTCAAGTGTTATAAAAGCTAAATCTCATATTTTAAGTCAATTACCTAACTGGTTTATTTATAAAAAAATATACATCATTTTTAATAATAATATTTTTCTTTTTTTAATTTGTCTAATTTCTATAACATGATGTGCACCTAAATTGGAATTTTAACATTTAGAATATTATATTATATTCAATTATTTTATATAATCTGTGATATTAGTAAAATACACATCATATTATAGATATATTATTTATTTATTTCAGTGTAGTTCAATTATAATTTATAATACAATAATAACAATAATAATATTAAAAGCTGATACAAGTGATACATATACCAACCGAGCTAAGATCGTATCTGGTAAATACTATATACCAAATATACTAACCTATATACCACCAGCTGCGATCCTGTAAAATATTTTGAGGACTTAAGTATTTAGTAGCAAACAGATTCTTTCATATTATAATCTATATGTTTTACTGTTACAATATATTACTTTTTTTTTATAGAGCTTTATGTTATGAACGAAACCGACCAAACTGAACTTATTGTTAAAATATTTTAAGGAACTATATAGAACATTACATTTTTGAAACTGCCATCTACATTAAATCATAGTGTAGTTTGTAATAAAATGAATTGCAAATTTTAATTTTGAACCATACACATGCATAAGTCAACTATTTATAATTTTTTCCATATTAAGATTGTATAATCAAACTAAAGATCTATTCAGTTCAGTTTAAAATTTGAACCATCAGTTTAAAATTCAATAAAGTCTAACAAAAAAAAAAAGGTGGGCAAGTGGGTGTCTGCTGTACAGTAGGTTACAAGAAGGTCATTGTTATTTGTTATGGACGGTGTTAAATTTTAATTCAATGATATACGTCTTAATATCATTGTATAAGAAAAACGATACTGAGCGAAGACGGTCAGACAGCCTATGATATTACTAAGTAGTAAGTAATAAGTAAACTTGATGATATTATTGTGAATAAAGTAATTTATTTACTGTGGTGTTCACGCTAAGAGGTACCGCTAAATATTTCAGTTGGATGACCTTGTATTGAAATGGGATTTTCGCTGAATGACAGATAGTATTTAAATACACATTTTCATATAAATTTAAAATTTTTAACTTTTGATACGCGCTTGCCCGATACAACTTACTTTTTAGATTCTGAGTGGAACGATGAATGTATTGATTTTACAATCTGAAATGGGATTTTCGCTGAATGACAGATAGTATTTAAATACACATTTTCATATAAATTTAAAATTTTTAACTTTTGATACGCGCTTGCCCGATACAACTTACTTTTTAGATTCTGAGTGGAACGATGAATGTATTGATTTTACAATGATGTGTGTATTTTTTTTTAATTTTTAATTTTTAGATTCTGAGTGGAACGATGAATGTATTGATTTTACAATGATGTGTGGTTTTATATATTTTTATTTTATTTTTTATTTTTGTGTCTGTGTACACGATAAGTAGTCGAAATAACTTTTCAACTTTTCAACTTCAGTATCTTGTTCGATTGGAAAGTGAATATAGTTGATGCATTGGGGAGGTCGAAATTTAAATTACCACCAGTAATTTTCAAAAGCTCCAAGAAAAACAAAAGAAAAATTAAGGAAAACCGGGAATTTTTACTCAAAATTTATTTTTCACAAAATCGAATTTGGTTCTTGGTGTAACTTAAAAACAAATGACTTTAGATACATGAAATATTCAATGATTGTTTATATTTGCATTTTCTATACACGATAACATTTTCAAAATATATTAATTTATTTTGAACTGTTTAGGGACATTTTCATTTTCATTTTTTTTTTTTGGTTTTTTTTCTAAAAATATCAATAAAATTTTATTTGTTGGTTAAAAAAGCTTGAAAATTTTAAAGAAGGCTCCTAGTATATTGTTCCAAAGGCAGATGAAAAATATTAAAAATAATTAGTCACAGTTTTTTTTATAAGCATTTAAATTTTGAAAATTGACAAAATATGAAAAAATCAAGAAAATTAGCAAATTATTTTGAATTAAGAATTCGTAAAAATTTTTCTTTTTAAGTCTAAGATTTTAAAATATAATACAAGATTCCTTATAAGATGAACTACCTTTATCAAAAAAAAAAAATTTTTAGAAGAAACAAATTCAATTTTTATGAGCGTTTGAAATTCAAATTTTTACAACATTGGATATTCACTCGATTTCTCATGTAGCGATTTCTTTATTTTGTTGTAATTAAAAAACAAATAACTGTAGATACATGAAAATTTCACTGAATGTTTATATTAGCATTTCCTATACACCATACAAATATTCAATTTTGAAAATATTTTGGCTCTTTTTGAGCTGTTTACGGACATTTCCAGTTTTCAATTTTTTGAAGTGAAACTTCTTTACTCAGGGTAGTGAGGAAAAAACGAAACCGAACGGGTGTTGCCAGACTCTCAAACTAATATTATCGTAAAGTACTTAAATAATTATCGTTTTTCAAAAAAATTATCGTACACCAAAAATTATTTTGCTTCAGTGCCCAGATTATAATACCCTGTATGGCTGTATATATTATATAGACAATATAAATATATATATATATACACCTATTTATATTAGAGTGTTATATTTAAGGATTCTATAAACACATACTTCTTATGCTGGTGGTACCAGACTGTTGTCTTTATTATTATCAAACACCGACCGATGGCCGATTCCCGATCACAAATTTCCATTATCGTTTTTCCTCTGTAGAAACAATACGATCTTGGACTATGTGAGAATTGCGATTCCATATAATATTATTACTATGAGCACGCGTATATCGCATTTGCATATATTATCTTGTACCACTAATGGACTCCAAATACGAGACACTCGTTTTAAATCATCCGTACAACAAGCGAATTATAATCGTATAATATATACCATACACACATGTTATCGTGACGGAGACGACGAATATGCATACAATATAATATGGTTTGCAGCGTGTATATATATATGCACTCGAATAGTGGTGCCGATGGGATTTACGATATATTATTATATATTATTATATATTATATATTATATATTATTATTATATTATTATACCTACACCTGCAGTATATGGTCTGATTGTACACCCCACCAATGTACCCACACAGTAAATAACTATAATAATAATATGTGGATATGTATAGGTATACCTACAGCGTGTGTACGATTGTTGTTCGTACATTAAAAAATACACATGCCGGCGTTATGGTTGACATTTGGTCGCGTTGTTCGATTCATTACCATGTAATTAGCCGGAAACGACTTAAATATTGTGTGTAATGAATAGTTTGTAATAAATTTGTAGAATATCGTACTTGATTAAACTTTCAAAATATTTTGACTTGTTTTCTAAGCTGTTTGCGGACAATTTCAGATTTAAATTTTTTTTTTTTCTGTGAATATCAATAAAGTTTTTTCTGTTGGGCCAAACAGTGTAAAAATTTAACACAAGGCTCCTGATATATTGTTAAAAATTGGCATATGAAATTTAATACTCACGGGTAATTTGTTTTTGACAAAATTTAAACTAAATTCAACTTACTGTTACTTATTAATATCCATTATCCAATACCTATTGTTAAATATCTGTTTGCACACAGATAAGATCGTAAAATAACTTTGACAACATTTGCCAGTAATATTAAGATAGTATAATTCCTGTTCATTATACATTTATGATTTATTACTCGTAAATATTAAATTTCATAATATGCCAATTTCGTAATTAGAAAAAAACTTGGCAGTTTTCTTTAAATAATGAGGCTAGGCTAAGATATATCTAGATATAAGCAAAATAAATACTATTTACAACAATAAGGGACAGCTATGGTCAAAACACTCAAAACTGTGTCCAGTTCTTATCAGTTCCCTCGAAATTGTAGTTGTGGTTGCCGTAATTTACCCTTAAAAAATAAAAAAGTTTATGCCTATAATATATTATATCATTTTTTAAGGAGTAAAATTAGGCAATTTAATAGCAATCTCGGGGGGAATTGATGAGACCAGGTTTTACAGTAGTCCCGTAATGTCATATATCTTAGTCCGTGGCTACTGGCTAAGGCATACTACGACTAATACAGTGATTTAACTTAACACTATGGTGAACTTATAAGTCATAATAAACTATAAAGTAAAGGCGCCTTCACAGCTCCCCGTGAAACGTGAAACGTGATATATTCTAGAACTGTGATTGGTTGAACCATGTGGTTATCTAATGGTTAACCAATCATTTTTTTTCTTAATACCTTATCTATACCGCTTATACCGTATAGTTGAGTTCAATCCTACTCTGCGTGTGTTTACCGTATGGTTGACAGTCGTGGTTAAGAATATTTTTACGGGAACAAATTATATATTATCACGTTTCACGTTTCACGGTGAGCTGTGAAGGCGCCTTAACACTGCAAATTATATTATCATTGAAGCATTATAAGAATGATAAGTTTTTCGCTCTATTAATTATCACCATGGTTTTTACTTTTTATCAAACTGTTTAGATTGTTACTTTTTTTTTATTTTGTTAAAAATTTTGCATTTTTTCGATAAATGATCAGACAAGGTAATTTACGATAGAGCTTATCTTTTAATACATATTTTAAATTGGTTTCAAGCACTTTTTTTTTTATATTTATCTAAATGCTGTTTAAGCACTAGTGTTTTTAAGTTTTAACCGACAAATATCCACTAAATTAACAGTGTTCATTAACTGATTTTATTTGTTGTATCCAGTAAATGAACACTTTATTTAGTGGGTTTACTCACAATTTAAAATAGTCTTGTGAATGAACATTTGACATTTTGGAATAAAAATTGGGATACAATTTTCATAAAAAACTATAATATATCTTATTTTATAAAAAAATAGTAAAATATTAAAGTAGGCGAAAAAGAATATAATATAATAGTAGAAATCAGTGTTCATTTGCAGCAGTGTTGGTATTCATTTAATGGACGATTTGTTCATTTACTAGGAAAACTTCTTTTTTTTTTACAATTGACTTTTTAAAAACATAATTTGTTTTAACATAATAAATAATGTGACTTTTATGTTGTATAAAATTTTGATGTATAATACAAATATATTTTGTGTCCAGATATTCTCTGTTGCATAGAGTTATGTAATTATGTACCTATTTATAGTTAAAATGATTAAAAAACATTAGGTTTTCATTTACGGCCTTCTTACCCTATGTTGATTTCGATAAAACAGCCAATATTGTTTCTGAAGGAGATTACGTCAGCCATGTCGTGTTAGCTTGTGCTTGGATTCACAACCTATAGTAATATTATGAACCTACCCCTCCCCCCTTTCACATTGACTCCGTCAGTGTTGTGTTCGTTAAAATACTATAATTTTGATACAGATCGAGCTAACTATATACCATTAGAGAGCGATTCAATTATTAATAGTAGGTAGTTAAACAATCATTACCTCGAAAAGTAGGTATCAACATTTTTTAAAATATTTTATTTTTATAATTTGAATTCAATACAAAACAACATTTTTGGAAAAAACATTATGTTTATAGTTTTTAGTATTGTTTTAATTATAAAGCCATGAGGAGCGGTGTGGAGTGACATGGGGGTGTATATCCGGTGAAATTTGTATCCACCAAATAGGTAATTTACTAATCTAAACATTAAATATAATAATACTAACTGAATCTACTTGTTCGATATAATTTTTATATAACAAAATTGAAAATTCTCAAAAATATATTCTGCTTTGGAAATCTGAAATTAAAAATGTATGTTGTAAAAAACCATAATAACGATAAAAATAGTAAAGTAGTTGTATAATTTTTCTTTCAAAAATGTTGTCTCTCAATACATTTAGGTAGACACCATTCCCAGTATAACTACGGTATCGTGTTTATTATTAGGTACATGTGAATATAATACATAATAATACTCTATAAGTACAAATATAAATGTGTGTACCTACTATGTATAGAAATTTCTGTTGAAAGTCAGTCTATATAGTCTATACAATATATCATAACTCAAATAATATTATAAAACAAAATATAATTAATTCGAATATGTCTTTTTAGACCGATCACTAATTTACGAAGGTATACATATTATTATAATATTATATCGTGATAGACACGCAATAATACGTAGGTACCTATGATGCGTATACATATTTTTGACGACTTTTGCACATTTCGCCGACCAACTAAAGTAAGTTAAACAAATAATATCAACTTGGTGGAATATTATTTTTTACAATATAATAATATCGTTTAAAAATATTTTAATGTACCTATGTAATAATTATTGTAACATATTCAATTATATTATTATGACGTGCGCGGGCCGATGCGTCTCGAATAGGAATAAAATATATATAAATATATATTATGATACATATCAGCTGCAGCGGGTGTAGGTAGGTGGATGGATGGGTATGCTTTCATCCACAGGCTACACCGGTTCGAGCTTAAATTGTTCGGCGATCTCCTTTAGCGTTTTGTTTTCGGTTTCGGGCAGACGGAAGTAGAAGTACACGAGCCCAATGAGCCCCACGCCGCCGAACAGCACGAATGTGTTGTAGAAGCCGATAAACCTCTCGAGGTCCATGTAAAACTTGGTCATGAAGAAGCTGAGGAAGAAATACACCCCGGAACATATGCTGCAACCTAGGTTCTTACTTCTGGAATGGAAAAAAAATGCAAAACACGCATTTGTTAAGTACATCGTATGATAATGGTCCACGAATGTATGAGGTTCGAGTCTGGCTGAAAGCTGCGAATTCGGCGTTTGGTGGTTTTAAAATCTATTTAGTTATATTGGTTTCGTAGAGATATTTATTTCATGCATCCGGAAACGGACATTAGAATTGATTAATTATTATATTCCGTATCCGGGAAATCGCCTACCTACGTTAGTTATTATTAGTAAATTGAATAGGCATTAACACTACCTATTCCAAATAACGATAAACGCAAAATATTTATATAACGTTTTAATTCTAAATAACGATAAACGAAAAACGAAAAACGTGTGTAACGTTTTAATTCTTAATAACGATAGATGCAAAAATTGTGTGACGTTTTGATTGTAAATAACATAAAACGAAATTTTTTTTTCCGACGCAAGCCCTCATCTGTAGTCATCTGTGGCCCCGGGGTGGAAAATGTTGGAAGATGTATTTTGAAGCTTAAATAATGGCGCGCTAGCGGGTTACCAATTATTGTTTTTTTATTTATAAATCAAATAACACTGTGTACACGTTTTGAATATATTAGTATTGTATGCCTACTTCATCGGGAACACTTCGCTCATGAGGATCCATCCGATCGGCATTATGCCCAGCGACGAGGATACCGTTGACCCGAAGAACAGTGCCAATTTCGCCCAGGGCGCGTACTCGGCGTCGGCGTAAAACTGTCCGATGAAACCGATGAGTAAGTACGACATCGAGCAGAAGGTTATGGTCGACAGCACAAGGCATCTCTTGCCCAGCCGGTGTACCAATAGGATGGTAAATACGTTGCCGATGATGCTGAATCCGGGGTAGGCGGACTGTAATACATAGAGGTAAGTGTAATAGAAAAATACAACGGTAATAATAGTAATATAATTGTTGTAGGTCTAAGATTTATCTGAAATGTGGAATTTGTGATAAAAGTAATTGTTGATTATAGTGATAACTGGACGAATATAAACCACAGTTATTGTTGGATACTATAATGAAAATGAAAATTAATAATTTAGCAGTGGCGAAGCATCATTGGAGACAATGAGACAACCACTTAGAAAATGGACAAATACCTAATTTGGTTTTATTATATTTAAATTAAATATTTTTTTTTTTACAAATTTTAATGTATAAAATTGTTATAGCTGTGGTTCCTAACTCCCATGCCGTGGAACGCGCTTAGTGGCCTAACTTGTAAAATTTTAGGCACATGCACTAGAATTTTAAGAAGACGCTATTATATATCCAAATGTGTAGTCGTCTCCGTTCTGTAAACCTATAATATAGCAAATTTGTGTTCATCAGAATCCATTTTGTGTCGTAATTTAAATAGTACAGTGAATAGGTAGTGAACGATTATTATTATTATACATTTAAAGGCAAAACTATTATCTAGGACATCTCGTAGGCTTTTATTGATATTTAAATTTGAGTTATATTATTAATAAAATATATTAATACATTATAAAATCAATTGTTATACTAATAGTTTATCACGTGAAGTATTACAATTTTTAAATGAGCATATAAATCGTTTTAAAATTTAAATATTAATAAAATCCTACGAGTTTCCCTGGATAATATTTGTCCTTTTGAATTTAATGACAGGTAAACACATCCCTATATTTAAATTAACGACAATAATTGGATTTTGCTGAACATAAAATATGTCGTATGTTTGTATTTTGTAACATGATGACAAACTATACTGATTTAACGTCCTCTCAACAGGGGTGGCGAATGGCGATGGCCTGGAGTAAATACACATATTTTTCATTATTATTTGGTCATAATAATAATTTAGACAAATATAATATAAATAATTTTTAACTTATTTTATTAATATGATGTTAGGTTCCTACTCATACATATGGGATGCGTAGGGCAATTTTTTTTTATATATAGGTAGGCGTGGACCAAAATAGTTTGGGTGAATCGAAATGAACCACTTGTATATTATATGGATATAATGTACGGTCATAGGGAATAACTTACTTATTACTTACCATTGCCCATGCAGGTTCTGCTTCTGTTTTGAACGATTCGAATACGTGCATCAGATACGGCGCGTACGGTACACCGGACATGACGTTTGAAAAGAATATGTAGATTAACATGAGCTTGAGCGGACTCGCCAGTCCTGGATGTGAATAATTACACAGAATCGAAGTTGTTTTTTGTTTTGCTTCTTCTGCGAAAAATATTGACGAAATATTATTGTATTATATTCTGAAAACATGCATACGTATATAGGTGAATTATTGTTGGACTGAAAAGGATGCATTTAAAAATGTGTGTAATAATCAGCGTTGCACCCCAAATGTAGTACCTACGTTTATTGAGTAGACGGAAAAGTGGGCTTTTCGTTATCATCTACTTCCCCGTCAAACGAATAAATTCAATTTATTCTAACTTAATCATTATGTAGCTGTATGTGGAGCAAAATCTTTCTCGTAAATTAAGTATCTTCAGCTAGGGTGATAAATATCCTATAGGAAGATCAGTTATAAAATCTCCCTGCCCATAAAAAACAATCGAGACATGGATCCACCACTGCAGGACTAGTGCAGGTGAATAATCAATAAAGATAATATTATACGAGTTTCTCATACCGGATTTACTGCTCAGCTTCGGGATCCTGCAGGTGCTGTCTTGTAAAAGATACTTTTTAAAAGTATTCAAGTACAGATACAGATATGTCTTATTTTGAAAAGTATTTAAAATATGTAAGTATTTGAATACTCGGTTTCTTATAAATATTTTTTTTTACCTTATAAATTAATTATCTACTAAACCGATTTGGTATGTAATTATAAAATACTTATCAGCTTTTTTGTCGGAGTATTTGAGTTTTAGATTGAAAATAGTCCAAAAATATATAATTATCAATTTTCAAATTTTTATTTTTTATTTTATGTAGTTAAAATTAAAACATAAATTATATTAAACTAAAAAGAATAAGTATTTACTTTGATAAAGTATTTAAAATACTTTGTGCAATTTTCTCTAAAATATTTATACGTGTATTTGAATAGACACTTAAAAAGTATTTGAATACTTTTACTCAAGTACTTTACAAGTTACTGTCAGGAATAGATATATCATATGTGTATTAGATTTCTATATATTCATATGATATGAACAGATTATTATTGAGACCCTTATAAGAACAAGGGCACAATTTCAACTTTCACTATTTTCAAGAGACGAAGTGTCTTATTTGTGTTTTTATTTTGTTGATATCATGAATTCCAATGAAGATATTATTAATTTAAAATCCATTAGGTATTCATCATTCACGTAATTGTCAAACTTAAATAACTTTTATTATATTAATTGTATCAGTAAAATAAAAACGCTACAACACAGAAAATATTGTCTTCTGTATCATGTAGGTACACATTTCGTTTCTCGACCATGTCTGTAACTTAAGTAGGTATTCCATTTACAAAACAGTGTCCACACAAAGTTTATAGGTGTGTTTGACTCTTAGTATTACTGTATTAGCCAAAAACATTACCTAATTAAAAATAAAACCTGCCAAGTGATAGTCGGACTCGGGCACGAAGAGTCCAGTACCACCATCTATGAACATGTTGGCAACACTGCTTATATTATATATTTTTGGATTTTTAGTATTTGTTGTTATAGTGGCCACAGAAATACATAATCTGTGAAAATTTCAACTTTCTAACTTTCATGGTTCATGAGATACAGCCTGGTGACGGACGGACAGACAGCGGGACCTTAGTAATAGGGTCCCGTTTTACCGCACGGAACCCTAAAAATCTAATTTTCTATCTTAGATAAAGTATGATATGTAAAGGTACATAAAAAAGGTATTTTCAAAACAGTTAAATTGGGCCCATGCACTAGTTATAATATAAGTGTCTCAATTATGTATATATTATACTTCTGTAAATTAATAATGAGCGCATGTCCTAATTTACATGTATTCTGTAATGGGATGATTTTATACTGTCATTACGTGAACGTAGAAGCGTTTGGAATGGTATCTACCAATGATAATATGGTATTTACCCGATTTGGCCGATAGAGATACGTATTGAACCATTTCCTGGAATTCCGTAGCGCATTTCTCTTCACTCACATATCCCCGGAGCTTCATTAAGACCTTTCTGGCCTTGTCCGTCTTCCCTCTAGACAATAGCCACATTGGCGAGTCGGGAGTCTGCGGAAATAAAATATATAATATACAACCCGCCGTTAATGTTATCGTTTAAGTGGATCAGCTGTATGCACATAATCTATCTATATATTATAAAAGTCAAAAAATGTTTGCGACAGACTGTGTCCTCTATGCATTCCTAAACCGTTCATTCGATTGCGATGAAATTTGGTGCAGACCTCGGGGAAGAATATTATTATTATTAATGCGAAAAGCTTTCAATTTTAGTACAGAATATATCGAGTTCGAATAATGGTTTAGGTGGACTAATTGACACACTTTTCGATACTTTAGAGTTAAATTATACTACAGGTAGATTGCCTGCCTGACGATACACTGCTCGCATAATCACAGAATGCGTCGAATTAATCGTCAGTATTATTGTATTAATATCATTATCCACGCCCCAAATTTCGTACTACGCGCAAACATATTAAAAGCGAAATTTGTTGAAAAATAATTCGGATTGTTGCATGTAATGAAAACAGTGGAACAATAAAATTATATCAAATGTATTAAAAATGCGGGTTCCTGCAGCAGGAGCTTTTCTCTAGATCGGATTAAGTGGCTTAAAAAATTATGTGTAGGTATACGATGGAATATTGTTTTGGAAAAATGAAGAGTTAGAGAAATATTGTCAAACGAATTTCGTTCTATTTTTTAGAATAGTGAAAAAGAAAACCATTGAAACCATATGGATGAAAGGAACAGGTGTTCCTGGACGACAGAAACTCACCAGCGACAGTGTGACCATGTTGGCCAGGGGCACGGCGACAGTGATAATCAACGACTGTTTCCAGCTCTTGGTGATCGCGTATGTGGTGGAGACGAAGAAGAATCCAACGAAGTAGAACACGTTCAGGGCAGACGTCAATGAGCCCCGAAGCTTTGGCTCGCACACCTCACCGCTGTACGATATGCTCAGGCCGGTGGCGAAACCCGTGCTCAGACCCATCAGCATCGAGCACGCGTACAGGGTGCTCACAGTGATCGGGAAAAGGACCACGACCAGCACGGCCGACAGCTGGATTAGATTGGTGAGCGCCATGCACGCCCTGTGGCCAAGCCGTACCTGAACAAGTGACAGGAACAGGCTGCCAATGGGCGGTGATAAGTACACCAGACTTCCTATGGCAATACACAATAATATAATACATAGGTATAGGTATAGTACAATATCGTTATAATACATTATAATATTGTTGTCAGGTATACTAAGTATAGGTACCTAATGCAACACTTTGTGTATACCAGGTGATTCATTTACCTAATGTAAAACACTCATCATTTCAAAGAATATGTGTTTTTAAAAATAATCATTAAACATAAATTTCAATCGTCGCAAAACCATTCATTTTTAGAAAACAAAATTATATTTTTTACAATTTCCATTGTTATAATTTCTTAAGTTTTTACTTCTTTTAAAAACAGCTTACAGTCTTAATTTTATATACTGAAGCAGATTATTATTCAGAATAATTTTCCATATAAAAATCAAACTTTGGACTTTTAGCTAATTAATTATGAATATTTAAAGTTTCGAAAAGTTAAGGTGAAGTATACCAACTTTTTTTGGCGCATCATTATAATTGTGCCATTCTTAAACATTAAATAGTTATAACTGAAAAACTACTTGTCTTATATTTGTATAGATCGAGTTATAGTAGGTAGTACTAGATAGGTACTATTAAAATTTACCTATGTAAAGAAAAATATTTTCAAAATCATTTTTTTTAATAAAGAGTATTCTTCGATAAAATAATCACCTGGTATATGCATTACACATTATACAGAGCGTACCAAGGGAAATATAAGATATGATATTTTAAATGCGATTTCAGTATAATATTATCATATCGAAAAGTATTTGATTCACAAAAAATAATGTGGTTTTTTTCTGTTTCTTAATAGTACAAATAATGACACGGTTAGGAAGACAATTCTAGTCTTCTATACATACATATAGTTAGAATATATTTTTTAACTGCTACAGCATAAAATATAAATTGTACAACCAATTACCTAGTATAAAAAAAAAACTGAAAATGAGCAATAGACTTTTTCAATTCTATCACAGATTAAAGCTCTACTCCGTAAACGGCGTGTTTTATTTTTTTTAACGTTTATGGATTGAGTTTGACATTTAAACGCAAATCGACCATAATAAAAAAAATTTAATTAAATTCTTAACAAAATGTAGCATGCTACTAAATATTTTTCTACTGCACTATACCCAAAAACACATCTATGATTCTTCAATTTTCGTTGCAGAGGAAAAAAATCTAGTAGCATTCTACTCGTAATATATATTTTTGTTATAAAAATAAGTCTACAGTCTACTTCTATGCAAAATAAAACAAAATAATTTTAATCTTAATAATTTAAGATAAATTTAAAGTTTTATTGTAATTTATATTTTATAGTGATTAATAAAGCATGCTAACGCCCATTTTTGGGGATTTTTAAGCAAGTATTTATACTTTATATTATTATATGTTTTCAGTTGCATAGATATTTTTATAAAATTTAAAAAAAAGTGTGCTATGGTGAATCAAACTAGATATATTTTTTTTAAATGAGATCTACCATATTTCACTGTTCATTAAAGTAGGTTGTTGATTTTTTTTTTAATAATCGTATCAAGTTAAATCAAAATTAGTACGATTGTCGATCGTCATCGTAGCCCTTAACCTAATCACCATATAATCCAAATCTATTATCTTGGATCGAGACATAACTAAATACATTTAAAAACAATACTGCAGATATCCATTCGAAAAAAAGATAACAGTAAAATATATCTAATAGTATTGGAAAATATGACCATATTAAATAAAGGTAGGTATATAAAAACCGAATAGATGCATATTATTAAAGGAATACTTAAACTGGGTGAATCACTATATGTGTCTCTGTTTGTATTATGTTGTATTTTTTTAAAACCATTTCTACAACATTGTCGTCAGTGATTTATTTTTGCTGTACAATTTGTAATATTATTTCAGAAAATAATGAATAAGTACGTGCCGGATTCCACTTTATATGATACCGATGTGCACTTGATACTTATAAAATTATTATAAATATAATATCAATTTTTTTTTAAATCTTGCTCCTAATATGGTTATCGTTTATCCGTGTAACGTAAAAGGTTATAGCTAGCAGCAGTTGATTGCTGTTGAATGTTAATGGCTAATTTAAGCATGTCGGACCACACCATATATTAATTATATATTATATAAGTATCAATATTAATACAAGTTCGTGGTAAAGTTCAGGTTATCTTATCAACCGTGTATAATTCATTATGATTAGTAAAAATAAAATTCTGATAACACTATAAAATATTGAAAAATTTGAAACGTCAAACATTGGTTCTGTGACTTACATTTGTGAAATCTATCTTATGTGTGCAAACTTATTACGAGCAATACTCTAGCAGCAATATGCTGATATATGACTTTAGTCGGAAATTTGGGTTATGGAGGCTTAAGGTCCTTTCAAATGATTCCCCTAGGCCCAAACAAATGTTCAACGAACAATTTTAATTTTCCTACCTTTATAATATATAGTATTGTGGTATTATATAGTATTATATTATAGTTATATATTATATAGTATTATATTATTTTAATTATCGGTATCGGGACTTGTTGTTTTAAATTTATTTAAAAATTTAATTCTGCTTTGCCCGGCTTCGGTCTATTTTCGGAGTTATTGGCCTACTAGTTTCAATTCGGAAATAAAACATTTTATTTTATTGATAGTTTTTAATAACAATTAAAAAAATCAAAACATTTTTTTTATCCATTGTATAGTACTTATACCTAATATAATATTTGAGTATTATTAAGTTTCATGTATGTACGTCTTTTATTTTAAGCATAAGTTTTGACTACAAAAAATACTTATCTATAATTTAATGGGGACTTTGAACCGAACAATCAATATTGTTCTTTTTTTAATACTTTATGGCTGCAGATTATATTTTAATTCAACAACAATAATTAATTAGCACGTCTTATAGCATGACTAAAACGTGCACCGTTATCGATCAAAATTTATTTTATCATGTTGGTTTATTTACAGTTACCTACGGCAATCTAGAAAAAAAATAATTTCTATTAATGGTCTAAATAGTTTTACCTATAACCTTGCGTTGTGCAATATACCTGAGCGAATGGCGGGGAATATATATTATAAGCTATAATATTATATTATATAGGTAAATATAGAGACACCCATTTAACCAAAACTAACTTTGTAAAATTATCGACCAGTATAGATTGAGATTAGAGATATTTAATTAAGTTGCCATTAAAATATATTGATATGACTGTTTTCAGCCAATAAGCAATGTTTAATCACTAATTTTATTTAGCCTTTAAAGTTCTTAGTTATTTAAGAGGACGCTACACCAGCATGTGTTGTCTGAGTCTCCATCTTACGAATGTAAAACATAGCAAAAACTGTTATGGCGCGGGAAAGAACCGAGAAGACTACAGACATAACTAAGAATTAAGAAACAAAATTTTCACCACATAAAAAGGAGAACTTTGGGTGTAGGTACAACATCGTTTTTATTTTTTCGATATCCAAACTTCAAAAAAAAGTTATTAAAGTTTCAAAAGCACAAGCAATATTGGCTTTGAAACAATAAGACGTTTTTTCTTATAAGTGATTACAAAAAGATAAAAAATATATTGCACAGTCGAAGTTCTCCTTTTTATGTGATGAGTATTTCGTTTCTTAGTTATGACTGTAACTTTCTTGGTTCTTTCCCGCTCAAAACAGTTTTTGCTATGTTGTACATTTGTAAGACAGAAAAATGTAATTTGGCTTTGATATTTATTTATTTCACCTTTAAATAAATATATTAATATATTAACCACTTTTTATATCAAAATTTGTTTCATTTCAGGTTTAAAATATTGTATGAATATTTTATAATATAATGAGAGGAGCGATGAATGCATTGATTTTACAATGATGTGTTTTTTTTTTTTTTATTCTGTACCTATATAAAATTTTTACCAGAAGGTGTGCTTCGCTTTCAACATATAGTACCTATCTTATCTTTTAGCAAATTGGATCAAGATGGTTCTTCAAAGAGGTCATTTTTCGATTTTCTCAATAATTATTTAATGCCACAGGAAAAAATACTGACAAAATCAATTTTGGTTTTTGGTGTAACTCTAAAATAAATGACCGTAGAACCATGAAATTTCGAAACACTGAATGTTGATATAAGCATTTTCTATACACCATAAAATTACCATATATTACGGACATTTTCAATTTTCAATTTTTTTACGTTTTTTTTTTCGATAATTATCAATAAAATTGTATTTTTTGGGTCAAAAAGAGTGAAAAATGAATTCAAGGCTTCTGATATATAGTAGTTAAAAAATATTAAAAATGCAAACGTACAATTTTTTTTTTAAGTATTTAAATTCTAAAAATCGATTTTTGACATTTATCAAATTTAAAATTAAAAAATGATTCTGTTGTAAAATATGTATAACATTTTCAAATTGTATAGCAAAGGATTGAAGATTTAAAACCATAATGTTCCAAGGAAGTAAGTTATTCTGTAACCAAAAAATCTCAAAGATATAAAACACAGTTTTTTTGTTCATATATGGACGAAATTACATATTAAATAACCAAGAATAACGATTTTAGTAATATAATATAAATGATCCACACTAACAAACCGTCACTGCAGCTCAGAATCGTTTGTCGTATACAATGATATTATATCATTGAGTTCAAATTTAATACCATCCAGTCCCTAAAATATCAAAATTTTCGTACTACACACATAGACCCTAATTGGTCAAATCTAAATTATTTCTAGATAAACACTAGTATACTATATACCACCGTTCACTACTAAGCTGATAATACAAATAGCTACTATCAATAACAATGAATAGTTTATAAATTATAATTATAATACAATTATAAGACGTAACATCACAAAATATTATTTACTGTGTGTCTGTATAGAATGTAGATAATAATTAAAATGTGGTTTGGCAAAAAACCATTAAAATATAAAAAAAAATGTGCAAATTATGCATAATATTATTATTATAAATTTTAAATTTCGTACCTACTACACACTGTACTTATCGTACTACACAAAGTGTGTCATAGAACACACAATCCATTATACAGTGACCCACAGTGAACCTACTGTACAGACAATAGCAACATCAACATACCCAAAAAAATTTTTTTTCGCTTTTTTACTTATAAGTTCCTTTTTGCTTTTATCTATCTTTTAATTTTATTGTGACATTCAGTGTGTTAAAAGTGCCGTAATAAGGAAAGCCGAAGAAGATTTACTTGCAAGACTAAATAAGATAATACGTAAGGCGTCCAAACACATCACAATGTTTTAAAATCACTCGCCCAAACGCATTATGCTAAATTACCCAAACACATTGCAATTTTTAAAAATTCGACCAAACCATGACCCCACAGTTTGAATATCTACCTACAGTAATTACGTATTAACCTTACCTAGTTCTCATGTCGTAGTACCTCCGCTGGGAGACCTCTACATTCAGTCTAATCTGCCTTTTTATTTTTATTTTTTTTAACCTTTTTTAACTAATCAATTGTTCTAATTGTTCCTTTTTTGTAACAGATTAAATAAAAACATATAAATCAAAAAAAAAAAAACCTTACCTAGTACTAGATACTAATCCAACCTAACCTTAGTTTAATAAACTAGAAACTAATCGTTCAAATTTTGTTTTATGTACATCAATATTTAAAAAAAAATCATCTGCTTACAATTCACTGCTCAAATTTAATATTATTATTTTAAAATATTTGTTATAATATTTTTGATAATAATTGGCCCCATCGTATAAGCAGTAATACATACTATTGTAATTCGATGTACCTAACTTATAATATAATTCTTATATAATAGTTGTTAATTAATCGATGGCACTTCTATAACAACTCACCTATCCATGATATCTGTTCGGCCGTTATACCGGGCACGGAGTTGTCGCCTGTATTAGATTCTAACGCCCCGATGATTATCGTTGGCATCATCACATCTATCCCTTGCTGGACGTTCAAGAAATACGTTGTCGTCAACACCAAACACTGTTAATAACACAATTTATTACATAAAAAATAAGCATCATCACAATTGTTGTCTTTAATTGTTATAGAATATGTAATCTGTTGCTTAGCATGTATTGGTGGTAGGTACAATGTTGTGGGGTTTTTTTTTTTATTATACTATTGCTAAGCGAGTTACAGATCCATTTCATCCGAGCAATTCTTGGAATTTAAAGTATACTTATACCATCAAATCAACTATTCTAAATTTATCAAATAAAATCATAAGTAAATGGTCAGTGTTTTCAATGCATATAGTATAATACCTATATATATATTATACTGATGGCTCACTTGATGAATTATTGCAAATGGTTTATAATACATTTTATTAAATTAAAACTTTTTTGAGGGTATGACTTAAAAAAAAAAATGTGTTATCTATGTATAATAATCAGTAGTGATGATTTACTTGTACTAATGTGGATTTTATTCCGTAACCAAAGTCCACTCCTTGTTTCATTTGTATTTTCGTTATTCTGACACTGAAATTAATAAAATAAATAATTAATTAAAACGATGCACACAGACTCATTGTACAACTTAAGTTTATATAAAGTGTATATAGTTCCCAAGTTGACCAAACATTTATAACACGAAAGTTATTTTGTGTAAAAAATAAAAATTGTCTTGAACAATGTACGAACAACATAACACTGATAAGGTGGTTCGCTGTTCTCATACAGCATACCATGTACACGTTCCATGGCCCTCATTCTACGATATTCTTCCAATTATTTAAAACTTCCATAACTATTTAGATAGGCAATTAATGGATATAAATGAAATATCAATAATATATTTTAAACTTTTACTTTTAAATTACCAAATTCCGATTGTTATGTCCCAAAATGTCTCATTCCCTATTCTATTTATTCATCATTATTAGTTAAGTATTGGATTCCACAAAGTTGAGTCTTTGAAAAATTTTAGTTTTTATTTACTGTGAGTATCTGCATGGCTACTACGAACACTTGAGTCTATAATTATTTATTTATTTTGACTTATTCACGGTTAACTAATCACTATGAATCCTATAACATTATAAATTATAATTACAAATTAAACCATATTTTTGTTATACTTGAATAATGTGTTTTTTACAGTGTTTAATTTTTACAAGCACAATGATGAAAGAAATATTATAGAGGTACACTGTTATGTAAAAGTCCAGTGGTCGGGAGTAGCGAGATAATTGTAGCGACGATACAGTAGCACGCTACTTTAGCTGTAGCACTCTACTTTAGCTGTAGCACGCTACTTTAGCTGTAGTGCTTAACATAGCGTCCCTACAATATATACAATGTAGCAAAATACTATAGCGCTGTAGAAATTTACGGTTAGCGTAGCGAAAATGTCCATTATTTTATCGCTACCAATAACCAATTTCATGATAATTAAAATATTATGATGTATGTTTATTTATTTAATTAAGGTGACTATACGAGTGTATTTTTGAATTTTTCGGGTTTAGTACGGGTACCGCACTAATCAGTAGTCATAGATTATAGATAAGACTACAATCATAAGAGCATTTATTACAATCATGACAAAGTATATTATAACTAGGTATATTTATATTATAACTATATTTTGTTATATTTTATAGTATTGAATACAGAACCATAAATAATTATTAATATATTAGTATTTTATTATCACAATTTTTATTCTCGGCATTCGGCGTTTTCCGTGTTTCTTTTAAGTATTAAATTTTATATGTAAAAAAACAGTATTTTAGATTCTATGTATCATTGAATTCGGATTTAACACATCCATCACAATAACTTCCACAACGACAAGGTCCACTTGACACTTACACTATACCAGTGTTGTATAGTATTTGAGTAAAAGTAATTGAGTAAAAGTATTCAAATACTTTTTTCGGTATTGAATACTTTTTTAAATACTTTTTATTTTGAAGTATTTGAATGGTATTTTAAATACTTTTTTTTACTATTTAATACTATTTTATTGAATACTTTTATTTAATTTTTTTTATTCTCTAGGAGACAGCTTATTGTCGACGATGATCGAAAAGATACATCTGTAGTCGGTATCACTATTAGCTAAAGTTAACAAAATATATAATATGTAAAAAGCTTCTACTTAACGGCTATTATATTTTATAGTTTATTTAGTTTATAATTATTTAACTATACGAAAATAATGTTAATAATTATTAGTACCTACTGGCTAGTGGCTACCTATTTATCAAGAAAATTTTTATCAATTATTATCATTATTGTTTATCGATGGCGGTATGAGATATCCAAATACATAATATAGCTTTAAATTAATATAATAACTCTGTTGAGAAAAGTTCATTGTTGTAGTGCAACTAACATGAATAATCAGAATTTTGATTATTGAACGAATCATGTTTTTAAAATGCAATAAACACATTTTTGATTATAACAAATTATTTCAGAACTAAAAAGTAAAAAGAATTTTTTTTTGTATTTGAAGATTATTTTAAATACTTCTGAAAAGTATTTGAGTATTACTCAAATACTTTACTATTTATAGTATTTGGGTGGTATTTTAAATACTTTATTTTAAGAGTATTTGAGTAATTACTTAAATACTTTTAAAAAGTATTTTTTACAACACTGCACTATACCTACAGCGGATCGTAAGATTTTCTAGATCCATGCTTGCCATTAACTTTTTAATTTTTTAAAAAATGTTTAGCAAATCAAAAATCTTTGTGGTCTCTTGCTGTATGAAATCCTTTCTCCCAGTGACCGAATGTCTAATCAGTACAAACTACTAATTGGCAATTTTCAATATAACGTTTATCTGTTTTGAGTTTTGTTACAAAAATACACGAGATACATTGAATAAACCTGCTTTCCAAAATTACATGAAAATAGTGGTAGGCATTAAAAAATAATGAGCAAGTACTCAAGTGAATATCTAAATAAATCAAAAAAAATTTTTTTAAAAATGTAGCGGAAAAGTAGAGCTCTACATTTAAACAATAACATAAGAAATAGCGCACTACATTTAAAAAAAGTAGATTTAGAAATAGCAAGGTACTTTTTGGGGGGAGTAGCAGTAGCGTTAGCGTGTCACAAAAAAACAGTAGCGTCCCGACCACTGTGTAAAACTATGTACCTAGGTACGTATTATATACCTATACGACGACATAATACAATTATTATATTTACTGATAAAATGTTATAATTGTAATATACTTGCAAAAATATTGCTTTTAAATTTTAATAAACTGTCTACAAATCGTTAAAGTACCAAACTCATTCGGTATAAATTATTTTATCGCGCGTTATACTGGTCGCCGGTAGTGTACAAAACCTTACATTTTTTTTAAATTTAAAACGTTGAATAACTATAATATCTGTACTACTTATGAGTTATGATAGTTATAGTGGAGGCGATTGGTCGCTGAAAACGATTTCTAAAATATTTATACCTATAAGAGTAAAACGGTAAACCAAATTAATAAGCTAAATAAATACTCATTAAACAATAAATACTAATAAATTAAATTTTTATATTGCAGTTCTAGAAGCTATGTTTGAAGTTGTTTTAAAATTACAAAAAATACAAAAAAACTTATTGATGACTTCGACTACGCCTGAATGATTTTTTTAAATGCAACATTTTAGACACTATTAATATATAGTATATAAATATAAAATGTGCTACTGTTAAAAGATACACGCAATGCACAGGACTGTTGACAAAATGCTTAAATGAATCAGAAAGTTAAGGAGATCAGTTTGATGAATTAATCGAAAAAGAAAAATTGTAGAAAAAAGTTGGAACATAATTCCTGAATTGAACTAAAAACCAATTAAAAAGCATAATATTATGACGAGTTTAGTGAGGACAATAGATTTGATTGAAAACAATTACTCATACACCTATTACAATTATTACATAATGATATCACTGCAATTTTGTTACTGTTTATTCACTGAACTCGTCAATATAATCATTCGACAACGGTTCTACAAAATATATTCTCGTATCAACAAGTGTCGTTGGCAATAAACTGTTATTTGGGTGTTTTATTTTTGAGTCTTACAAAGCCTCGTCTAAGACAAAATTCCATATCGGATCGATCATAAATAAATCAAATAAGTTGAATTTAGATTTGATTTTTTGTATTCGATTTCACGTGGACGCATGTAGGTGATTTAAATTATCAGTGTTAATATTTTAAGGAATTTACAGTCGAGGACTAGGACAAAAATGTAATTTGTTTTATTGATTAATTATCAACCGAAAACAAACAAACACTTTGCACATACCGGTTAATAAAAGTTATTTAAAAATGCACTATGATCAAACAAGTGTTTATGTTAAGCCAAAAACAAAAAATTAATCAATGTCGAACTATGTGTATTGATTATATGTTTTATGCAATCGATTATATGAGAAATGAGTTTAATACTAAAATATATGAAACAGAACATAAATATTATTTTTTAAATGAACTTGTATAACTCGAGTGGCTTCCATACTAGCAAATCATATTACACTTACAACATAGTCAAGGCCTAGGCTTATTAAAAAAATCGGGGAAGTAATTCTGCTGTATAGTAGGTGACACCTCGTCATCAAGTAGATCATAGTAATGGTAATGGATGTGTTAAATATTAGAGTTAAATGATAAATCAATACTTTCAAAAAATGATTCTGAGTGGAAACGGTCTGTTAACACTTTAACAGTTAGTATATAGGTACTACTAACTTTTTAAGAATATATTTATATTTATATGAGTAATTTATTTTTTTATTATCTAGCTATTAACATTACCCTAATTTTGATTGAGCTAATTTTTTACAAAAACAAACCGCATAGGTACCTAATATTATATTATATTATTATTAAATTTAATATTATTTACTGTTATTGACTTCCAAGTCAATACCGACGTATTGTAGAATGGTGGTATAAACAAAATACCTCAGAACTAATCTAAATATTTTGAAAATTTCATTGTGTATATAGGTAATAAATAATAATATACTTACCTATTGCTGAAAAGTTTAAAATTAAGTTTCATATAATTTTACCTGAATAATTTACCTATACATATTATGTATGGTTTGTGAACAATTACCGTTTCTTGTAGTAATTCGATCACGAAATATTTACTTATTTTTAAGTTCAAAACGAATTCACCGAGCTTCAATACCAACAGTATACAATACAGAACGTCAATACAGTGCTGTTGGTATAGTGGTATGGTTTATGTGGGTTTTTTGTACAAGCTTGAGAAAGATTTCATGTCAGTGAGCGGAATTACCCTTATTTAGAATTTTATGAATGCGAATTCTTAAAAGGCACTTACAAACTAAGGTAAGCTTTAATTGCTTATTTGATAAGTCTTCAAACTGTTATTTAAATGAAAAAACTGTTCCCCCAGGAGACTTTTTGAACTCCCAAAAAATATGGATTTTAGGACGACAATAAGTGGTGTTTTTACT